CGCCGAGTGATTCAGTGCCCAAAATATGTGCCCTCCTTCGAGCGCTGGAGCTCGGGTGGCTGCAGGCTACCACGGGCGTGTGGGGCCGGTGCTGTGGCAAATACATCGTGCCTCGGCAGAAGCAGCGTGTGCTTGGCGTTGGCGTGGAGGAAAGGGTGCTGCGTGCCCTCAGGCGCTGCTCAGGCCTAAAAGAGCACGGCCAGACGGCAGTCTCTTAATTGTACGGATACCTTGCTCTGTTTTAGGTGTGAGCTCGTAGCTGGGAGACTGTGAGTTCCTCAACAAACAGAATTTCCCTATTCTTTGTTACAAACTTGCCCGCAGTTTTTGCTGTCTGGTGCTGTTCGAATGTCAAAGCACTGATCTGGCTTTTTTTTTTTTTTCCCTGAATAAAAGGTAACTTACTTTCACACCCTTTAAAATCCTGGTGCTATTTTAGAATCTGCCCAGTTCTCCTAACAGAAAAAAGTACAGAAGCACTTGAAAGAAATTCATCCTAGAAGGATAGGCTATTTTTTGAAAAAATGAAAAGACGTCCTTTTTTTTCTTTTTTTTTTTTTTTTTTTAGGGATAGAAAAAATCTCGTGCTTTTTCATTTTCTTGGAGAAAAGAAGCATGAGCTTTACAGGACATAGCATGATGACGTGCATATGTGTGTGCTAAGCCTTTTTTTGAGAGGACTTTTCTGTGTGAAATCTTCACATTTCAGTTGTTGAAAGTTCATTTGATAATGATGTTACCCTCTTATTTTCTAGCAAAGTATGAATTAATCTAACATTGCTGTAAATGTAAAAAAATAGATCCACTTCTTAAAACTGCACTATTTAGCTTTATTGTGAGGAGAGTTTAAAAAATGCATTAACTTTTTCTTCCTTTTAAGTTCTCATTTCAAGTCTTATAGTAATAATTCTGATACTAAAAATATTGAGTTTGCCTCCCTGGTCTGGTCTAAGTGTCGAACTGAACTTTAGCACTCGTGCAACAGCTGCCATTGCCTGATGATAAGATGTGGCCTAACTTTCTATCTAAAGTAGGAATGAGTTGTAACTAATTGAAAAACACCTTTGGCAGATCAGCTATAAAACAAGACAGTCTATGCTGAGAACAGAGTGCTCTCTCCAACCTACTGGATAAAAATAAAGCTTTGTGTATTCTGAGTTACCGTACAATTTTTCCTTATCTTGGACTTCAGATAATTACACTGTCAGATTTGGAATGCGACTACATTAATGCTAGATCGTGCTGCTCAAAACTCAATAAAGTAAATTATTATTCTTTGCATTTAATATGGTTTAAGAACACAGTCCTTCATCTTAGCATGACAAGTAACAGGGGTGTAATGTATTTCTGAAGAGCCTGGATTGGCTATATTTTGCATGTATCCTTTATTTCACTCTGCTTCTCTTTTTTGGATGCCCATCTTTCAGCAAATTTAGTCACGAAAGGCTGTTCTTCTGACCCTTGGTGCGCTGAGGTGGGCTGCTACTCTGAATTCATGGGACTGAGACCTAACTCTTTGCAGAGTTCTTGAGTTCTGTGCTTTCATTCTTGTAGGTGTGCCACACCAAGGATGTCTACTCGTGACTGAACTCTGGGATTCTTATAGCAACTTTCTCTGAGGCTTCTGTATAACTTCTAACCTCTCTTGAACAGTAGAGAGTTTTACTATGATAAGGAAAATTACTATTTTAACCAAATCTGCTTAAAACTGATTTCATTAAATCAATGTGGCTTTCCCACATGGGTGTTCATTTTGATTTAAAGGTATTTTGTTTCTTAATGTAAGAGAGAATGCTACAGGATACTATCAAGCCAAAAATGCGTTATTGCCAGGGGCTGACCCAATTTAACTATGCCAGTTTTCATATTGATTAACTTTCTTATCTGTTCTAAGCCTGAGGGTGTTTGTATGTCCTGTATCTGTACAGATTTTAATTATCTGCCTCTCTCATTCCTAAATCCAATGTACTCTGCAGTCATTTCAGATGAGCGCTGTATACTTTCTTAACTCACTTTCTTAAATGCTTGTGTAATATAGTTGTGTTCAAACAGCTGCTGTGCTTCTATCTAGAAATCTTTGTAACACTTAGATAAAGTACCTCTGTTATAATATCTTAGGGCCTGATTTCTGGCTTGCTCACATGGAATCTGTCTGAAGGTATTAATTTCCCCATATTGGCATGAAATCACACGGGTTTTCTTCTTCCATGAATTTTCTGTCTGAGTTTGGCATGATTAGAATCAGATGATAACTCTGTATAGATCTTTTTCAGAAAGGAATTTGCATTTGTCCATATAACGTTTTTCTTTTCTTCCCTTTTTACAGTGGGTGGTCCCCGAGGTGATTGGCCATGCTGTTGTAACTGTATTAATGCTTATTTCATTGCACTGGTTCATCTTTCTCCTTAATTTGCCAGTAGCAACATGGAATATATATAGGTAAGTGCAAAGAGTTTGTGTGCTTCCCCCCGCCGCCTTCCTCCCCTGCTCTCCTTATTACTCACTCACTTCCCCCCCCCCCATTACTAGTTTAGTTTTACGTGTAGTATGAAGACCATAGTATGTCATGGTGAGATGTTTCAGTTGTGTTCTTGAGCTGCTAACAGTCTTCATGGATCTAACTAACATAAAACTCTCTTCTTCTTGCAATTAAAAAGACAAGAACCCCAACAGTGTAAAGAATATGAAGCTTTTGGCATTTCCTTGCATTCTCTCTAGTGCCCGGGAATCTTGATTTGTGAGTCATTCCCAAGTTCACAGGAAATAATAGCATGCAAATTGGGATTATGAAGTAGTACTGCAAACATAGTTGTTAATGTTTTTCATGCTGTGCCTACATGCCTGACAGTGATATCAGCATAAAAGTACTTAAGTCAGCACGGCTGATGGTTGTAAAACCATCAGGCTGTGGTGTTATCCCCTGCACCGTCCTTCATTTACAGTCTTGTTTCTCTCCCTCATTTGTGTTCGTTTTGGTCCCCTATCTTGCCTCTTTGTATTCGGAAAGGTTTGCAGACTTTTCATTTTATGACAGCTGTCAATATTACTGGTCTTTGTATACTGGGCCATCCACCACTTTGAAATGGTTTACTTGTAAATAACTGTCAGTTCAAAAATGTTCTTTTTATTTTGTATCATTTGGTGTGCAGATAATTCAACCTTTGCAGGTGTTATGCTAATGAAAACTGGGTGTGGATTTGTCGCAAATTATCTCTAATCACTGTACTACAGGAAGTCCAAAAGACCAAACGTTTAAGATATAGGTATGAAAAGTTGGCTGTAATTCTTGTTTGCCTGAAGCTGCTAAGGCTAACTGTTTGCAGGGATGGGTCAAGCTGCTGGTAAAATTAAATGAGGCTTCATAGCTCTCATTAAAAAGTTGAGGATCCCTTTACTGATAATCACATTGTTCTTGGGCAAAATAGCCATGCATTTATCACCCTTGTTTTCTACAAAACTGCTAGCAATGCCTTCAAATGTTTCTAAGCTGGAGTAACATGAGACAGTATAACTTACATGCTTAATAAAGAAATGTTGCCTAAATGAATACACATAGGGATAGCTTTGTTTGCCCACCTGTATGTACAACTGTATTATATGCTGTTGCACAAAATGACCAGTATTCCCTTTGGTATCTGCTGGCAAGTATGGAGTTTGCATTTGATGTTTCATTTAGGCTAGACTGTTTCTACAGAGACACTAGAGACAGAATGCATTTTCTTTGAAGGTTTGAAGATTTCTTGTACTGGTTACCCCTTTGCTGCTTCCGTTTGCTTACTTATGTTAATGTTTAAAGTAGCCACTTGCTTTCCCTTCTAAACCTGGTCAGAGAGAATTTTAAAAGATACAATTATTTCTATTTCCACACTTCAGGCAGTAAGCTTTGACTGCTGTTTTGAATTGACAGCTCTGATTTTATATCTGTCATACATGGGGTAGACGTTCTGAATGGTTTCCTCAATTTTAGATGTGTGGTGTAGGCAATAAATGAATATGACAATATGATCTTTGCCTGTCCTGCCACAAGAAGTCAAAATGTTAAGCCTGTATTGCTCATCCTGCCTTCTTTCTGAGGATTGAGGCGTTTCACCCACATTAATAGCCTGGAATATCCCACCTGTAGTGAAGGAGTTAAAGGTCTGCAAAAGCAAGTGCGTTGTTTAGCACTATAGAGGAAATCTGGTGATTTGGAATAGAACTTACATTTCACCCAGTGTTCAGTGGACCAAAGGTGTGGTAGTCAGAAAACTGGTGGACTGTAAAGTAGTTTGAATGCACTGAAGAGAGGAGAAGGTGTCAATTACTAAACTACGATTAAGTGGGAACAGGTAAAGTGTGAACCCACTGTTACGAGCTGCAAACTTCCAGCATCAGCTGGATGTGTTTGAATCTTCTTCATGTGTTAGAGTATTTCAAGAACTAATTTCTGGAGTAAATGTTGCTGCACATGAATTTAGAAAGGCTTAAGATTATCATTCTACTCCAAGAAATCAAAATAATTGTGTTGAGATTGAAGAAGTCTGTGCTTTGTAGTGTATCTAAGTGATAAGAGAGAGAGAAAGGTAGGATAATAATCCCTTCCCCTTACTGTCTTTCCTTCAAAACCTGTTTAATCTTAATCAGGCAGTACTGGCTTAATTTACTAATTGTCTCAGTGATTTCAGTGAGAGTAGAGAAGTTTTGTGTGAAAGGGGCACCAGAAACAAATCCCGGGGAAGACAAATTGGTAAAAAACAGCATCAGCGAAGACTTTCAAAGTTGCAGCATGTTTGTTGTAACATCCTATTGGCTCTTCTTGTTCAGTGTACTCAGATGCTCATTTAATTTGTTTTATTTCTTGATGAATTTTGTAGTGTCTTAATATCCAGTGAGACACAGTTTTGTCTTACATTCTCCTTGCTTTAAAATTAGATATTGAAGCAACTTATTTGAAATCTAATCATATTGCAAAATACATATTTTTTAGTTCTTATATATTTCTTAGACTTGCTACTATGTAAAAGAAGCAAGAATTACAAAGGAAATGTTGAATGTGACTAGGCAAAAAGAAAGCAACTCTTAAAAAAATTTTGAAAAAATTGAACGCTTCCCTCTCTTCTTTGTTATATAGATATGCTTGAGACAATGGGTCAAAATAATGTGAATCTTGTCCTGTCTTTATGTAGATCATACCCCTCTTAAAACTGAAGGAGTAAAATAAATAAATAAATAAATCTTTAAAATTCAGTGAAAATTTTGACCAGATCTTCCACATCTCTTACAAAATTGTGTAATCTAGAGGGAAATGCCCTGTTGCTGTGGCAGCCGCTTCCACTGAATGGAGATATTTGAGGCACTAATGTGTATCTTTGTTAAAACTGAGAGTTTTCTTGTTCTGTGTGCTTTTGCTGCAGAAGATTTTTTCCTGTTTAGAGCAGGACTACTGGCTTGAGTTGTGTTTGTCAGCATCTAGCATCATTGTGTCCATGACTACAGTTCCTTAGATGTGTAATATAAGCTGTACTATCTTGTGGGTCTCTTGGAAAAACTACCTCCCAACCTCTGCAAGCTTTAAGTTGCATCATTTAAGTGCTATCATTCTTCTTAAAAAGCAAAATTAATAAATACTACCTTTATGGCACTCATATCCTAGAGATATAAGAAAACTATGCACTCTATTTCTAGGATAAATTGGTACAGGAAACTTCTGTTCTTCCTTTTCTTCCAATAAAATGCATTACATTTCCAGTAAATGGACAATAATTTGTGTTCTAATACTGAAAATAGAACAATCACTTAAAACTTCAAACTTAGAAGAGACTTTCAAACTGTAGTTATTTCACATGAACTATTTTAACTTTTTAATGGGACATAATTGTCTTTGTTATTAATTAAATATGCTGCAGTGCTTTTTAATGCCTCTGTAAAAGAAGGACAAATACTGTGGTCTTGACTTCATTGGGGGGGGGGGGGGGGGTCCCCGCTTGCTAAAAAAC